GAAAATTTCATCGCGAAAATTTTTTTTAGTTATTTTAAATAAAAAATTTCTTCAGTTTGGAAAAGGAGTCTGAATCAAGTGAGTGTTCGCAGTCAAGCGCAAGTTCTCCTTCACCTTCATGTTCAGATGGAAGTGAAATTGTTGTTATTGCCACGCCGTCTGAACCGTTTTTTGGTGCAGTAAATATGTGTCCAAAAGTTTGTGCAATATGTGGAGATAGAGCCACTGGTTCGACTTCAGAAAATTCATTTCATTTCTAGATTTTAAAAGAGTATGCTAGTAAATTATTAAGTTTGAGAATAATTTCTTTCTACTATTTTTATACTTTTTACTTTGTTAGTTTCTTTTTATAATTTTAAATTACAGGTTATCACTACGATGCTCCTTCCTGCAACGGATGTAAAACCTTTTTTAGGCGAACAGTATTACAAGGAAGAAAGTATGAGTGTAGGAATAAAAAACAATGCGCACTTTCAAAAGGTAACACTATTTTAACACTTCAAATAATTAAATCTTGCGAATGCTTTTTACCTGTTTAAGAGCCTCACTTAAGCAAATTGAAAGCATTATAGCTTCTGCGGGAATGAATTTACCATTATATAATGAATATTTTAGAGGACAGTATTTCAGAAAAACGATGCTTGTGTCGTGCTTGCCGTTTTAATCGTTGTGTCGCTGCCGGTATGAATCCTTTGTTGATACAAGTTTCTCCTGATGATCTAAGAAGCATAGAAAATATATCGAAAAGCCTCAAAAGGAAAGCAAAGGGCGAAGAGAATTCTTCCACAGTTAACCCACTCAAGAAGGCAAATTTTTTTCTTTTAGTTCAGGCATTATAGCAGCACCACTGCTTCGTGTAAACGGTGTTGTGCTGTACAATAAGATTGTTTTTTGCGGTCAGGGAAACGGTGGCTTTGCTGAAAAACGATTCTCCAATTAAATTGACGGTTGTTCTAGTTTTCTGCTGCAGGTGTCTCCGCACGATATTCCCATGGTGGAACATGGAACCATGAAAATTCTTGACGAACTTTTGAAAGTAGAAGCAAAGTTACACTTTCTAAGGATCTCTACTTTTTGCCCAGAAAAAAAGCCGTTTACACTGGCAAAATTACTACAGTCTCCCAATTTAGTGGACGAAGTTTCACAATTCCAAGTATGGGTCAACCATTATTTATAAATATGTGCTAAAAAAATTCATTTTATTGTTATTTTTCTAAATCATACATTAGCCACTGCAACATTTGACTTTTGTCGCAAGTATTTTTTGCAGTATTAGGTTTCTCATAAAAAGATTGCTATATATGAAGAGGACTCAGTACTATTTTTATAAAACACTTGCGTTTTACAGAAAGTGGAAGATTGGGGAGCCAGAAAAACCATTTTCATACCTCTCGTCAACGGTACTTTAACAAGACGAAGCGTGGGGTTCAAAGACTGGCATCTCTGCGACTTGGTACTTGCTGTCGAATTCGGAAAAACATTTTCTTTCTTTGCAGACTTGCCACTCTCAGATAAGGTTGGTTTTCGTGTATTTTTTTCGTTTTGCACTTTTTTCTTTCAATTCATTGAACTCTCGTTTCAGATTGCTTTGATAAAAGGGACGGCAGCAGCAGAATCCTCAATTGCAGATTCATTTTTTTCTTATAAAAGGAATGCAAATACACTAATACTTCCAGATGGAGAAATTCCAGTAATTACAGAGCCTAAGTAAGCTGATTTATGGCAACGAAAAAAAATTAAAATTTTTTTTTGATTTTTGGTACTAGTTCTACCATTTCTTGGTAAAACGTATATTTGACTTGATTAAACTTTTGAGTGGTTATTTTGAAGCTTTGTAGAAAATGGAATTTTAAGTTTGTAGTCAAATATTAACCATTAGAATACGCAGACCGACAGTGAGGTGGAACTGAAAAAGACAAACTGTAAGAAGGTCAGCATTTTTGAAAAGCAGAGACAAGCCATTTCAAACAAAATCCGATTCTAGAAATTTAAGCCACTACGGTGCAGGCGTAAGCAGTTAAATTTTCAAGCTGCTGAGCCTTCTTAGTGAGCAGGACAGCTAACTTTCTTTTGTTCGCTGGTCATTACAATGCAGTTGAACGGAAGTATGCGGAGTTTCAAGCAAGTCTGATACGCCTGTCATTATTTGAAAAACTTTTTTAGTTTTTTTAACCAAAAGCCCTTTTGATGTTTTTCCACTATATTATACTGCCTATTAAAGCGCTTCAGAATTTTCTTAGATGGGCGGATATAGCTGAGGTTTCTGTAGCATTTGATAATTTTACGTAAATGGGGGTGTAAGAAACCTGCAGGACGGGAGGTATGTGAACAGCAGTGAACTTCTATTTAAGTGTTCTCAAACATGTTCCTGCCACAAACTATGCGGGTTATTAAACGATATATTTTCTGGATCCAAACCAGAATCTGCTGAAAACGGTGGAGGAAGCTTTTTTTGTTAGTTTTTCAATGCACTGTAGTTGTTCAGCATGTGAACAGGGAGGTGGAGCTCTTTTTGGCCGCCTTTTTTTTTTACTAATGTTGTGTAGGCACACACTTGAAAGATTTGGAGCATTTCCATCACGATATCCAACTGTACAGTCAACAGCGTAGTTAATTGGAGTTTCAGTACCCTGTTTCCTGATAAAAAGCACCGATTGACTATTTTGCTGGCTGTACAAATGGATTTGTATTGAAAATGTTAAAAATTTCTAAAATTACGTGTGTGGCAAAGTAGCATGGATTTGAAGAAGTTCCTCTCAGTTTTAGAAAGGGTTTGCGGACCAACTTAACCAAGTTTCCAGTTAGAAGGCAAAATTTTGTACTTCTTTTCGCCTCTGTATTTTCAAGGTCACTTCAGCATCAGTTAATCTCTAAATCAAATGAAACGTATCTGAACCTACTAGGAAGTTTATTTGAAAATTTTTTACTACAGGGCATAAAGTATGAGTCAAATGAAGTTACACTTTTGAGGGCTTTAGTATTGCTAAAAGTAGCTTCAAATCTACTGTTTGGTCCGATAACTTCGTCACTAAAGTTTTATATATATATATATATTTTTTTTTTGAATTTTCAAACAACAAATGAAATGATACCTGCTAGTTTATATTTTATCATTTGATGGGTTTAATTGATTATAGGCCCCCCGCTGTAATGTGTTGTATGATGGCGAAAGGTGTTGAAGTTTTGATTCGTTGTCAGCCGGACGAAATAGAATACGTGCTTTTACGAGCAATTGCATTTGCTAATGACAGTGAGTCAATAACGAATATTCCTCGCTGATTTTAATCTTCCTTTTACAGTTTTTTATATTCTCTCTTTTTATTAACATGCTAAACACGATAACATTTGGGCTACAGTAACATTTTTCAGCTGCTGAAGGTTTGAGTGTGAAAGCACAGGATATTATAAGACGTGAAAGAGAAAAATATGTCAAGCTTTTGTTCAAGTAAGTATTTATATTCCTTTATTCTGTTCTATTCTATTATGCTATTTTAGCTTGAAGGGTTGTATACTGTTTGAAGTTTATATGCAATTATGAGTTTTTTTATCTTTTTTTTATTGTCAGGTGAAAGGAAGAAAGAACTATTTGATAAACTGCATTTCAGTTACCTGATGAAAAAATATGACACCACAAAAGGAGCCACAAAATTTATGGACTATATTGGTGCGATAAACAGCTATACAGAAATTGCGGCTAAACGTAAAGAGCAGCATTCGTTAATTTTGGCTCTGTTTCGCCCAAATTTGTCTACACATCCCCATAAGTTCCTTGATGAAACCCTGGGTTGATAACAAATTACAATGGTAGCATGTTACACAGGCGAAGTGTTGTTTCTTAATGGTTCTTCTATTTGCATCAACTTATCTTTTGTTAGTGGTTACATTTTTTCTACTGGTACTGGTTGCGAAAATTATGGATCATTGACATACAAAATGATTGTGTAAATTGTTTGAAATTTGTTGGAATAAATCTGATAAACGATTTTTGGAACGCTAAGGCTGTTGAAGAAAATAATTATTTTTTGCATAAACTATACAAACGAGGTTTTGAAATACTGAGATCAGACGGCTGTACAAAAACGGCTGCTAAGTAAAACAAGTTTTTGGAGGTTTTTAGGCGTGCTCTTTGTTTGAGCTGCCAAAAATCACTATGTATGTTCGAAATAATTTTTAGCTATTTGTTTTTCTTTCAAATCTTTTGCAATTTGGTCGTCGTTTATAAACTTTCTAATGTATCTTACAACTCAAGTGCTTTATTTTATAGCCCATTGCAACTCTTTCGTCGTTGTTTCTTTGTTCTTTTTTTTTTTTTCGAATTGTAAAATGAAATTTCCGGCGGTGTTCTCACTTTGACGGGTTGCGAAGTCAGCATGATGAATTAGTGCTGAGCAAAGAAAAACGGTTGATGAGAAGGGAAAGGAAATTGACATGAAAACGTTACAAGAAAATTGGATTAATCACTGACGAAGGAAGAGATCAACGGCAGAAAAAATTTGAATTGAGTGTACAGATAGTAATTAGAAATGGCAAATAAATTATTAGTCGAATTTTTAAAAGATAGTCGTTTTTTAGGGCTTTGGAGGTGCATTCTTACTCTCGTCCATTTCATATTTTTTTTCTACAAAACAGGGTTTTTTTTTTGTTGTTGTTTATTCTGAAATTTTTATACTCTTTGTGCATAATTAGCAATTGTTCAAAATCTTTTATTCAACAAAATTTTGAAGCTTATTTGTGTGTATTGTGCCATAAGTATATATATTTATGGAAACTTGTTTTTTTAATTTATTTTTTTTTT